TTCATCCAAGTTTACGATATATACAAGGCAAAGCAAGACATAAAATATTCGCCTTTATTTACTTTTAAACAAGCGGGCTAGCCCAGATTTCGGGAGTTTCCAGAAATCTTGACCTAAACCAAAAGTGGGCATTGCCCTACCTATCTAGAAGTTTGGTTTCATTCGTGCATATAATATTTGTTTGGTTATAGAGAAAACCCTCCCAGTCTTTTAAAGAAACTGAAAAAGGGGCAAAACTTTACCTTCGATTTTCTCAGAACAGCATTTTTAAATTAAAAAAAAAAAAATTTGGGGGGGGGGGGGGGATCGCCCCTTTGTGCTTAAAAGCAACCAAATATACGATTGTAGAGATGCCAACCACAGAAAACCGAAATGAGTATTGGGAAATTTGAAAATGTGTATTTTCAGAGGAAAATGTGTATTCCCCACGACCGACTGACCAACTAGTAATAGTAAAATGGTAAGGGGGTCAAGCAATATTTCCTGAAAAAAATGACTAGATCTAGCTCACCAGCTGGAAAAAGGGAGCACACACACATACAATATACATGTATCCAGTCAACAACATGTCAGTGTTCAGTGTCGTACTGTCAGTGGTCAGTGTCGTACTGTCAGTGTTCAGTGTCGTACTGTCAGTGTTCAGTGTCCTACTGTCAGTGTTCAGTGTCGTACTGTCAGTGTTCAGTGTCGTACTGGGGTCTTGTTTGACTTAAATATTTCAGTCTATTATACCGCTAATATTTTCCTCTCATTATTACGTAAAAAATAAATCCTGCTTTGAGAGTTCGGAAGGGCCTAGAACAAAAATTTCGACAAGCAAGCACCAGTCTGGGTGTCATGATTCATATTATGAACTGAGAGACTCAAATTATTGCTCAAACTCAGAGAAAAGCGATAACTTGAAAGACTCAAGTAGACCCATGCACTGTGAGAGTTGTAATAACCTAATAACTGTGGTAGGGCAAGATGTAGTGACACTGAAAATCAACCAGTCTTGAACAGAAAGCCACAACATACACTGTAGGCTAGGTATAATTTACTATCACCCATCCAATGAAACGCGAACACATTATTTCAATAACACAGACTTGCAAAGTTTGAAGGGTCCCGATTCCGCACACGGCTTTGCAGAAAGCTCTAATCAAAATTTTGAAATGTGCTTCCAAGTTTTTGTCCTCTGGTGTTGCCTTCACACCCTCCCCCATAATATCTTAAACCCCCAAAAAATCAATAATCTCCTCCCCTATTCTGTAGTCCTATAGTCCTATACTTCGCAGCGTCCGTTCCTCCCACCAAAGACGGCCTTTACTGACACGATGCCGCATTTATTTATGACGTGAATGCGGGCAGGTTCAGTGACCAGTCACGATGGCGAGCCAGACAATCTAAAAATCGGACGACGTTTGTATTTTATTTTATTTTTTTCCACAAGTGACAGCACAGAGGCAAGTCCGAGCATTGATTAAATGTTATTTGCACGGCGACCTTGCGTTTATGCTGCACAACCTGCATGTCACAAATGTTGCGTCATCAGACATGACAACTGCTGGCAAACTTCTCGGTGGTAACGAAAGCGAAAGTAGATCTTGATTTTCCCGATCGAGCCTCGGTGTCACATACGCTTCCGCCTGCTGCCATAGCTGCCTATTCGCGTGAAAGTGAAACGCACTCTCCGGACGGAGAAAAGCTGAACGAATATAATATCACGATGGCGACCGGCAAAAATGAACTTACTGACCACATCGGACTTGGTTTTCAAATACTCCAGTTCTGCGATACTGATACTATTTTGACAAAAGATGGGACTTGAGATAATTAGGTTTACCCGCCCAAGCTGAATCTCGTATTTTTCGCATTCCATGATGCGTATTTTTTTCATGAAAAGTCGTATTCGCGTATTTTCGGCCGAAAATCGTACTAAAATACGTAAAATCGTACTGGTTGGCATCTCTGCGATTGTTTACCTTTTAGTTCCATTGCATCATAGCTATTTATAGAGGGAAGCATGCCGGTTTGTCACAGGCGAGCCTTGCTTGGTGGAAATTATCACTGACATTCTCAAAATGAGTAAATTAATGATTGTATGAATTGAATTGAATTTTTCAGTTATTTTTAAGGAAAAAGCATTCATTGTTGAAATTTCACAGAGTAATTTAAATTTGCTTTCAAAAGGTAGAAAATTGAACAACACAAACTGAATTGACATTTTATTTTTAGAGGGACTATCTCTTGATCTACCGGTACACCGCCAATTTGAAGGTGGAGAATAAAAAACTTAAGTTACAACTAGTGTTAAAGTGCTGTAATTATGACTGTCATCAATACTCAAATACTTTAATGAAATTGTGACAATCTGGGCCTGTGACAAACTGGGCAGCCCCCATCTATAGACAACTGGCGGGAAAAGAGAAGTAATTCCATAATTCCTAAGGGGACTAGTTGATCATTAGTTGACGAGGTTATTTCCCTTGGGGGGGAGGGGGGGGGGATATTTCAAACATGTCAATGCTCCCTGGCAATCGTGTCGTCCATGACGTGGACAGATCGTGTCGGGGTCAACATGGTCACAGGGTGTGGTTGAACGATTGAACGATTGTGTTCTATTTTCCTCCCTTCTTTGTTTTGCTTTATACTCTATAATAAATTATAAATACAAACTACAAATCGCTGTCCGTTTTGTCGAGCCATCCGCCCTTAACCTGTCCCCGTGGTTTTATGCAAACCGCATAATTTAGCACAATTTGATCATTTTTTGCATAATTTCTGATTATTTTCCTCATTCTTAGTCTTAGTTAGAATTAACAGAATCGCATAATTTCACATTTTGGGGCTCAGTTGGCATAATTTCATAATTTTTCTTGTATAAAACTACGGGAACAGCTTAACGTGGTACTATTACCCTTCGTGAGACAACTTCCTGGGCCTTCGGCATATTGTAGTAGGGTGGCCAGTTCCTTTCCACGCCGCCTTTACTTCCCCAACTCGAAGTCAGGTACCCATTACTGCTGGGTGGGCAAAAAAATCCGAGTTCGAACCGAGGCTCGAACTCAAAACTATCCGCTTCGGAGACGAGCGAACTAACCGCTCTACCAGCACATCCCCCACATAAGGTTTAGTTTTAGTTTTAGTACAGGTTTTACGGCGCTCGCAACTGCATAAGGTCATATGAGCGCCAGAAGATTAGAGATGTTACAAGACAGTAACAAACATAAAAAAGAAGAAGGGGAGATAAGGACGATAGATGTTTGATAGGAAAGAAGGAGCAAACCACACCAGGGCACCCGCCAACCACCCACCCACATAATGTATTGATACGATGACGAGGACACGAACGCAGATGACAGAACATTGCTAGGGAGCAAGAAATGAGATGAAAGGAGACAATTTTAGAAAAGAAAATTTTTGCGTCACTTTCCGGATTCGAGCCTAGGACCTTTGAATGAGAGGCGAACACCCTAACCCCTAGGCCACGAGTGCCCCGGAGGCCTACTCTAAGGTATTGAATAGAAGTGCCGCCCCCCCCCCCCCCACCTTATTAACTTTGGACCACTTGTCCATCCCACACCCTTTATTAATTAACTTTGGACTACTTGTCCACCCCACACCCTTTATTAATTAACTTTGGACTACTTGTCCACCCCACACCCTTTATTAATTAACTTTGGACCACTTGTCCACCCCACACCCTTTATTAATTAACTTTGGACTACTTGTCCATCCCACAAGCTTTATTAATTAACTTTGGACCACTTGTCCACCCCACACCCTTTATTAATTAACTTTGGACTACTTGTCCATCCCACACCCTTTATTAATTAACTTTGGACTACTTGTCCACCCCACACCCTTTATTAATTAACTTTGGACTACTTGTCCACCCCACACCCTTTATTAATTAACTTTGGACTACTTGTCCACCCCACACCCTTTTACTTTTATTTTTATGAATTTTGGACTACTTGTCCCCCCACTCTTTTATTCGACACCTTAGACTAGACTTGAGTACCCAGGCTCAGGACGGCCACAAAGGTCAAGGTCACAGCACAACACACTGCAGACTCATGGTGCTCCTCCCATCCCAGGGACTGGCGGGTCACGCGACAGACAGGCCGACCGACAGACAAACAGATAGAGCTCCTCCCATCCCAGGGACTGGCGGGTCACGCGACAGACAGACAGACAGACAGTACAGTACAGACTGTCAGACTCAGATGGATGGATTGTCAGACAGACAGAGAGCTTCGTCGCTACAGATCCCAACAGCAGCAGCTCAAAAAGAACCATGTCATGAAATTCATGATGAATGTCAAGATGAATGATGACCCAGTCGTTTGTATTAGTAAGGATTTACGGCGCTCGCAACAGCATAAGGTCATATGAGCGCTTAGGGGAGGATGTCAACAGAGGATGTCATTTGAGGCATTTTCGTTTCTTTGATACCGAAGAATTGGTGGCCACCAATTGTATTTGCAATCTAATGTTAAAGCCAATGTCTACCTTCATAAAATCAAAAATTTTGTTGGGATCAATGGTAGAGAACAGATCTTGTAATTTTGTACGGGGTCTCAAAGTCCAGACATTTCTGTCAATTGTGCCTAAAGGTGAAATCTGTGTCATGTCGCATCCAACACACAACGGTTTCTCATCTCTCTGCAGGAAGTATTTATGAGTTAGTGTCAGGGAGCTGTGTCCAATATGAAATCGAGTAAAAATGCCTTTGTCAAAGGGTTTATTTCGTAATAATTTTACGGCACTAGCAACACAATAAGGTCATACAAGCGCCAAAGATTAGAGGTGTTACAAGAAAGCGACTAACACCAAAAAAAGGAGGAGAGATCAGGGCGATAGATGTTTGACAGGAAAGAAGGAGCAAACCACACCCGAGCACCCGCCAACCACTTTAAGTTTTTCATGGACCCAGTTTGGGCATCACGTTGTCGAGCTGGCTTGTTCATTTGTTCACTCCAACGGATTAACAAAGAAAAAGAACACTCAAAACGTAAGATATCAAAAAGTTTTATTCATTCAAAAAAAAAAAAATTTTTTTAAAACCCCAATAAAATAAAAATGTGGCAGGGCCGCACAAGTAAGTTCAACAGCTATAAGAAAACTTGTGGACAGAGAACTCCAGGGAAAGCTTCCTTCCCTAACACTGGACAAATCCTAAACGTTTCATTGCAGCTAACAAGCCCGGACAAATAAAATGCAAATAACTTCCCTGGTGGGTGTTGGTAATGCCTTGTAGCGTGGAGCTGACTAGAGACTGGATCCTGAGCAGTGAACTAACGGTAGCACAGCGCACCAAGCATGCTGTAGACAATGGTGGCGTCAGAATAGTAACAAAATCCAAGGAAGGAACCCCTTTAAACATTTCTGCTGAATAGAAAGAACACCGGCCTGTGGTATAGAGATCTAAATAAACATTTCTGAGAGAATTCTTTCGTTCCTCCTCCGCCCCATTTCTTTCCTTCCCTGCGTGGTCTGATCAAAGAGTTCCACTCTTGGCAATGCACACAGGCTTGGTCGTCTTTCCGCTCTGGCTGCCGTTCTTCTCCATCTCCCTGACGACGGTGTCAAAGCCTTCCGTCACTTCGCCGAACACCACGTGCTTCTTGTCCAGCCTGCACACACACAAACAATAGTTTGGTTTTTGTTTTAGTCAAGAGCTTTACAGCACTTGCAACACAATACGGTCATTTGTTTTAGTAGAGGTTTTACGGCGCTCGCAACAGCATAAGGTCATATGAGCGCCAGAAGATTAGAGGTGTTACAAGGGAGTAACAAACGCAAAAAAGGAGGGGAGATAAGGACGATAGATGTTTGATAGGAAAAGGAGCAAACCACACCAGAGCAGCCGCCAACCACCCACAACGCAATACTGTATACAAATACAATAGGTCATATATAGAAGAGGTTATAAAAAGAGGCATAACAGAACCAGAAAGTGACATACAAAGAAAAGAAGGAGAGAAGAATGATAGATGGGATTGTAGGTGACCTTATTACGCCCCATCAATACAATCTAGGTCATTCAGGAGGTGAGCGTCCAACCCTGCCTATCATCAGGACCAGAATGTGTTGAGAGAGACACAACAAGCCAACAGAAGACATATATACTCAATAGAAATCCTGTAAGAATCAACCTTGGATCTCTTGCTTCAGTTTTAGTTTTAGTAAGAGTTTTACGGCACTTTCAACACAATAAGGTCATTTAAGTGCCGAAGATTAGAGGTGTTACAAGAGAGTGGCAAACACAAAAAAGAAGGAGGGGAGATAAAGATGATAGATGTTTGATAGGAAAGAAGAAGCAAACCACACCAAAGCACCCGCCAACCACCCACTGGATCTCCTGCATGTGACAGCCAAGCACCTGGCCGCTACACCACAAGACGCTGGGTAAACAAGTAAGAAAATTTTAAACTTCATCTTCAAAAGAGTTTATGGCACTTGCAACTCAAATACAGTCAGGCTCTGTTAACTAAACACTTTGGCCACGACTTTTGGTTGTCTCTCTATAACAACAATTTTACAACTCTCTATAACTTTATAACAACAACTTTACAACTCTCTATAACTTTATAACAACAATTTTACAACTCTCTATAACGACAGTTTTTTCTGGGCCCGATGATGTTATAGAGAGGCTGCGCTGTACATGTGCTGCTGGTTTTGTTGCAGTAACTGTTTTACGGCACCATTGACTCATCAACTACATGTGTTTTACAGCACTATCGACTCACCAACTACATGTGTTTTACAGCACTATCGACTCAGCAACTACATGTGTTTTACGGCACTTTCGACTCAGCAACTACATGTGTTTTACGGCACTATCGACTCACCAACTACATGTGTTTTACGGCACATTGACTCACCAACTACATGTGTTTTACGGCACTATCGACTCAGCAACTACACGTGTTTTACGGCACTATCGACTCAGCAACTACATGTGTTTTACGGCACCATCGACTCAGCAACTACATGTGTTTTACGGCACCATCGACTCACCAACTACATGTGTTTTATGGCACCATCGACTCACCAACTACATGTGCATCAGATGAATGAATCCTCAGTAGAAATCAGAATTACGTCCCATTCAAAATCATCACTTGCACAGAATCTCATCTCTCACTAGAAGAGTAGTGTAGCTCTCAAAATTATTATGGCCTTAAAGTTCAAAACCATTGATTAACAAACTGAAGACGTTTCCAGTTAAAAACACGGGGTGGCCCATCAGTTTTGTGAGACTGTTACCATGGAAACCCCGACATCGACATTATCGCCAATAGCATCAAGATATATCAATGCCGCAAAAGGTCGGGATCCGGCTTAGATGTATGCGTAGCCACTTTTTCATTCAACAAAAAATTTCAAGGGAATCGGTCAACAACTTTTTATCCAGAGCATTTTTAGAGAGAGAGAGACTGCTAAGACTGCTTGTTTTGTAAACTACAGATTGTTTATACGGAGCGGTTTGTCCCAGCACGTGAGACATGTATTTACTAATGTCCAGGGTTGGGTTGATTTAAATCAGTTGATTTTTTTTATTTAAACCAACTTGATTTTTTAAATAAAAATCAGTGAATTAAATCACTTTTTTAAAAATTTATTTTTATTCAGTTTTTTAATATTTCAACATTCAGAATTCCTTTCCTAGGTTTCATAAAACAGATATAAGGTTTAGTACACTAATATAATCATGCTTAAGAGTCTGCTTCCCCCTCCCCCTTTCACTGTAAAATAATACAGTATTCAATTTACTTTTTTCCCCCATAATTGAAATCAGAGCTTGTTTGATTTAAATCAGTTGATTTTTTTATTTTAATCAACTTGATTTTGTGATTTAAATCACTTTTTTTTAAATGTATTCTGTTTTTACATATTTAAACATTCAGAATTCATTTCCTTGGTTTTATTTAACAGATATAAGGTTTAGTAGACTAATATAATCATGCTTTAAAGTCTGCTTTCCCCCCCTGTCACTGTAAAATAATACAGTATTCAATTTTCTTTCTTTTCATAATTGAAAACCAGGGTTGGGTTGATTTAAATCAGTTGATTTTTTAAATTTATATCAACTTGATTTTAAAAATAAAACTCAGTGATTTAAATCAAAATCATTTTTTAAAAATGTATTGTTTTTACGTCTTTAAACTTTCAGAATTCCTTTCCTTGGTTTTATAAAACAGATATAAGGTTTAGTAGACTAATATAATCATGCTTACAAGTCTGCTTTCCCCCCTGTCACTGTAAGTAGTAAATTAATACAGTATTCAATTTACTTTTTTTTTCATGATTGAAATTAGCATTTTCTTTTTCTTTTTAGACAAACACAAGCGCGCGCGCACACACACACACTGTAATAAAATACAAGTTTATCTATGCATAATTACCCCCTCCCCCACTTTATTTAAAAAATCAAAAAAATCACCAACCCTGCTAATGTCCTGTCTTGTTGTGCGTTTGCGTGAGTGCACCTTTAAGTCTAACTTTTGTAACATCTACTGCCATTGTAAACGACCAAGACAAATTTCTCCCTGCGAGATGAATAAAGATTGTCATTGTCATTCCTTACCCACCATCCCACTGAGGAGCGACAGCAAATGCATATTATGCTTTTGTTAGTCTCAGTAACTGTTTTACGGCACAATCGACTCACCAACTACATGTGTTTTACGGCACTATCAACTCACCAACTACACGTGTTTTACGGCACTATCAGCTCACAAACTACACGTGTTTTACGGCACAATCGACTCACCAACTACATGTGTTTTACGGCACTATGGACTCACCAACTACATGTGCATCAGATGAATGAATCCTCAGTAGAAAATCAGAATTACGTCCCATTCAAAATCATCACTTGCACAGAACTTCATCTCTCACCAGGAGAGTAGCGTAGCTCTCAAAATTATGGCCTTAAAGTTAAAAACCATTGATTAACAAACTGAAGACGTTTCCCGATAAAAACACGGGGTGGCCCATCAGTTTTGTGATGCTTCCGGCGGAAAACGCGGGACCGACATTATCGCCGATAGCATCTAGATCAAAATGCCGCAAAGGGACGGGATCCGGCTTAGACGTATGCGCAGCCATTTGTTTCATCGGTCAATAACTTTTATCCAGAGCATTTTTAGCTAGGTGGCCGCTAAGACTGCTTGTGTTATAAACTACAGATTGTTTATATGGTGTCTCTTATTTTCTTATTTGTAAATTTTGTTTAACATTGATTTTTATACCTTTTTCCGAATAAACGCATGTACTTTGGTTTGCTTGTTGTTCTTGATAGTGTCAAAACGGCTTTGCAGTTGGTTAAATGTGCTGTTGGTTTTGTTTCAGTAGCGGTTTTATGGCACTATCGACTCAGCAACTACATGTGTTTTACGGCACTATCGACTCAGCAACTACATGTGTTTTACGGCACCATCGACAGGGTTGGTGATTTTTTTCATAAAAATCAAAAAAATCGATTTTTTAAATTTAAATCATGATTTTTTTAATTTAAATCAGATTTTTTTTATTTTTAAAAAAATGTCGACACAGTTTGGGATTTTTGGTTGCTAAAAGTATGTTCTTTTAGTGCAAAATGCATTGTCTTTTATATATTTTAACTAATGATTAAATTAAGCAACCTCAAAAGAAAGCCTTAATCTGCTATATAATAGTATGTGTGTGTGTGTGTGTGTATATATATATATATATCAGTGAATTATGGCTACTGACAAAAAATGAAGAAAATACCAGTCTAAAAGGAAGGGAGGGGGGAAATTATGCATAGATAAACTTGCATTTTATTACAGTGTGTGTGTGTGTGTGTGTGTGTGTGTGTGTGTGCACGCGCTTGTGTTTGTCTAAAAAGAAAAAGAAAATGTTAATTTCAATAATGAAAAAAAAAGTAAATTGAATGCTGTATTATTTTACAGTGACGGGGGGAAAGCAGACTTTTAAGCATGATTTTATTAGTCTACTAAACCTTTGTTTTATAAAACCAAGGAAAGGAATTCTGAATGTTTAAAGATGTAAAAACAGAATACATTTTTTAAAGTGATTTAAACCACCGAGTTTTATTTTTAAAATCAAGTTGATTTTAAAAAATTTTTAATCAACTGATTTAAATCGACCTGATTTAAATCAACCCAACCCTGATTTCAATTATGAAAAAAAGGTCAATTGAATACTCTATTATTTTACAGTGACAGGGGGAAAGCAGACTTTTAAGCATGATTATATTAGTCTACTAAACCTTATATGTTTAATAAAACCAAGGAAAGGAATTCTGATTGTTCAAATATGTAAAAACTGAATACATTTGTTAAAAAGTGATTTAAATCACTGATTTTTATTTTAAAAATCAAGTTGATTGAAATATAAAAAAAATCAACTGATTTAAATCAACCCAGCTCTGATTGAATACTGTATTATTTTACAGTGAAAGGTGGGAAAGCAGACTTTTAAACATGAATTATATTTGTCTACTTAACCTTATATCTGTTTTATGAAACCAAGGAAGGGAATGCTGAATGTTGAAATATGTAAAAACTGAATTTAAAATTATTTTTTTTTAAATGATTTAAATTACTGATTTTTATCAAAAAAATCAAGTTGATTTAAATTTTAAAAATCAACTGATTTAAATCAACCCAACCCTGACCATCGACTCACCAACTACATGTGTTTTACGGCACCATCGACTCACCAACTACATGTGTTTTACGGCACCATCGACTCACCAACTACATGTGCATCAGATGAATGAATCCTCAGTAGAAAATCAGAATTACGTCCCATTCAAAATCATCACTTGCACAGAACTTCATCTCTCACCAGGGGTGTAGCTCTCAAAATTACTGCAGCCTTGAAAACCCCTTGAGTCCCAGCCCCTCTTAATTCTGGTGTCTGAATTACAAGTTATGTTATATTTTCATTGTACACTTTCACATTACTATTTGTATTGTGCTCGCTTGCGACACACTACATCACTGTAGATCTATCCATATCGCCAGAAATCTACAACACTAGGGTGGGGAGGGAGCAAATTGAGAGTTTGAATTAGACCTAGGCCTAGTTTGAAGAGACGGCTGAGAAAGATGGTCAAGTAACCACAGAGTGGATGTGCCGTGCGCAGCCTAGCGGGTACTGTGCAGTTCTGGCAGCCAGTTCGCTGGTGGTGCAACAGTTTTACAAAAGGGTAGATTTACAGTAGTTTATAACGACCAGACAACTGACACATTTAGCAGATGGCGGAGCAAATACTATGTTTATATAGGGGACTTTTTTCCCAGTATATTGGCAAAACCTGGCGGTACAACAGACTGTACCCGGGTCAGAAGTCAGCCCGTCTACATACTGACTGCTCAGTGCAGGATTCCGCCACACGCCATTTGGAAAAGTGACATATGATGGAGACTCACCCGGACCGGTCGATACCATGACTCCATAAATACACTAAACTAATTCCTGCATGTGGTTCAATGATGCATCTGATGTGATATGTACATTTTGTCTGCTTTACTTCTCTTTTCATATTGAATTTTAATGAGAGTAATATACAATACACATAAAATTTAAATTTGTAGGTATACCTGCATGTGTTTTTACGATCCTGTACGGCCAAGAACATTTTCCCTCTGGGATAATAAAGTATTATCTAATATCTGATATCTTATCTCATAACTAATGAATTGGGACAGATTTCATGGCTAGATGTGCATCAGATGAATGAATCTTCAGATAAATTCAGAATTACGTCCCATTCAAAATCATCACTTGCACAGAATTTCACAACTACAAGAATAGCAATATATCCAAACTCTGTGCCATACATTCTATTTCTAAAGTGCCAAATGTATACAAAACATCCTGCACACCCAAATGGAACATCGATCAAGCTCAAGAGAAAGTACAAAATCCTCACCATGGGGTCTTTTCAGTTGTGATGAAAAACTGGGATCCATTGGTGTTTGGTCCAGCATTGGCCATTGAGAGCAGACCTGAGGAACAAAGCAATGGTTTGGAACATTCAACATTGCTTCTGCATGTAGTAGTAGTAGTAGTAGTACAGGGTTTTACAAAGCAATAGTTTGGAACATTCAACATTGCTTCTTCATGTAGTAGTAGTAGTAGTAGTACAGGGTTTTACAAAGCAATAGTTTGGAACATTCAACATTGCTTCTTCATGTAGTAGTAGTAGTAGTAGTACAGGGTTTTACAAAGCAATAGTTTGGAACATTCAACATTGCTTCTTCATGTAGTAGTAGTAGTAGTAGTACAGGGTTTTACAAAGCAATAGTTTGGAACATTCAACATTGCTTCTTCATTGAAGGCAGCTTTTGTGCTCCCATCCAAAATTTAGATCATTTAGGAAACGAGCCTCCTACCCTGCCCGTTAGGGCCAACCGGGATAGAGGGATACAACATCCCAGCAGAAAGACCACACATACTCGATAAAAATTTCTCTCCTCTTGGGTTGAATAATTTTAATCGAGCAACAGGAAAGTTTTGTGTTTAAACTGCTGATATCTCTAACACACTTTCCCCACAGGAACCCCCCCCCCCCCCCCCCAGGTAGGTCGGAAACCTCAGTTTTAGTAAGTGTTTAAAGGCACTTGCAACACAATAAGGTCAGATAAGTGCCGAAGATAAGGTGTTACAAGCGAGTTAGATCTAATTCTAGAACTCCTTGAAGTGCACAAACCAGACAGACCAGCTACTGATTCAAACATCTTGAAGTCAAGTTTGGATCTCTAGACCTACATAGAACCGCAGATTTGACAGTTTTGAGAGCTCGAATTACACAAGTATCAGAAGCTACAATCTAAAGTAAAAGAAGACTCTATAGGTCCCAAAAACAGTTCCACCAGTAAAAGTTAACACATATAAACGGCTATTCAAGTGGAGGAATCGTCAACATTCGTATTCGCATTTTTATTTCTAATATTTCTATGTCATATCGTAGATCGGTCGCCAGAAGTGACCCTTAATTTTTTTAATATTTAGTAGAAGTTTTACGGCACTCGCAACTGCATACGGTCATATATGAGTGCCAAGGGGTGGATGTCGACTGAGAAATCTTTACAGGGAATCAGACTTACTCTGCTCACCTCTCTAGCTTCAACAGCACAAAGTCTGTTTCACCTTTCAAGGTACGCCGGAAATAGCAGTTCACAAGAGAGTGACAAATATACAAAAGAAGTAGAGGAAAAAATGACGATAGAAGTAAGGATTAGGAAAGAAAAAGCAGCAGCAGCTCACTGTTGTAGTTCGGGCACAGTTATGAGTATGACATTGATGAATCAGCCCATTTACAATTCTACTGCGCTTGAACGAGAAATGTCCCCCCCACTGGGAATGGCCTAAAGACACTTCCGGCTGACGGTCATGACACCTGGAGGGTTAAAAATAAACTTTAAAAAAAACATAAATCTCATATCATTTCTTTTTTTCAAAGGATCAGAAGCCGTAAAAAAAAGTCACCTGGCTTTGAGTGTTGCCTCACAAAGTTCTCATCTGCAAATTTGTTGCCGTAGATACTCTTCCCCCCGGTTCCATCTCCCCGTGTGAAGTCGCCCCCTTGGCACATGAAGCCAGGAATGATCCTGTGGAACTTGGAGCCGCCATAGCCGAAGCCTTTCTCGCCAGTGCACAGAGCACGGAAGTTCTCTGCAAGAAAAGAACATGTGGCTCACAAACTTACACTATACATTCATGATTCTTGAGCTTTGACAGACCAAAACAAGACTAAAAGTAATACCGTAATCTGGTTACAATGGTAAGAAAACTACACATTTCATGGGTGAGATTTTCACCAACATTCTCTGAGAAGTGTTTGGCGATCACCTAGTGCCTAGTCCCATGTTATACGACCTGAACATTTCCATCCAGTGAAGCTAGGAAATAAGCAAGTTATCCGACCTGACTTTTTTCTTAAGAGTTTTACGGCACTTGCAACACAAGGTCATATAAGTGCCGAATATTAGAGGTGTTACAAGAGAGTAACAAAACTAAACAGAAGGAGGGGAGATAAGGGCAATTATAGATGTTTTCGTAAGTTTTACGGCACTTGTAAGACAATAAGGTCATATATATATATAAGTGCCAAAGATTAGAGATGTTACAAGGGAGTAACAAACACAAAAAAGAAGGAGAGATAAGGATGATAGGTGTTTGATAGTGAAAGAAGGAGCAAACCACACCAGAGCACCCTCCAACCACCAACGGTCAGACCTTAACACTGAATTAGCACCAGACCTTTCAAGCTTTTCTTTCCATAATTTCTATGACCACTGGCAAAGACAGACCACATTCTGACTTCTTCCCTTTCATAAGTCGAAGAGCCCACACACATTTCCAACACAAAAAACAAATTGAATGTAGCTGTCAATGTATTCCATACAAAAAGTTAATCTCTACCCACGTATTTAGTTATGTTTTTAAATGATCACACATGATGCTTGCACCAGAAATTATTTGTGAACCCCCAAAAAGAACTCAGCACAGACAGTTTCCCAGACCAATTCCTACCACCAATGTCAAACATCAAGAAGATTATCCATGCCATTATTCCATAATTATTTTATCGGTTCACAACAGGTTAAAAACATTCACATTCAAAAGCCCAAATTGCAAAAGATCAGCGATAGACCAAGACAAGAAGTCTTCCTGCCTTTTTATTTCTTCTGCAGAACAGAACGCCATTCGAGCACTTTTACTTCAATATCAAGGGTAAATGAACACCACACTACACGTCAAAATCATTTCATATAAAAAAGTTTTGTTTGACCACCACTTTTATCTCTTTTGAACTCGACTTGGTTATTCTATCGCTCTCAATTAATAATAATTTACCAAATTAAGAAGGAGAATTTTTAAAGCAGACACAACTAAGACATGATTCATCCAATAAACGGGGGGAGTTCCGCAGAGGGCCAGCATTTACCGTGACAACGTCCACAGAGCAAACTATACAAAAGTTAGGGTTAGGTATTGGGGTAAGGGTTAGGGTATACCCCGCTCAAAATATCCCCTCTTTTGAGGTGATCGGTCGCCCTCTACGGAACTCCTTCCCAATAAATAAACCCAAGCCTTGGCTCTTGTTCCCCGTTACCCCACACACGTCACACGGCAAAGGCCAGCACAACATACCTGAGGTCTTTGGTACAACGTCGTCATACAGCTGAAACAGATCAGACAAAGGATATATATGAGAAACAGTTGGGGGAAAAAATTTTTTTTACACAATGTAATGCTTTAAACTTTAGGGCCTAAATATTTTGTTGTTGTCTCAACATCTTTACTACGGTGCGTCCACTTAAAATTACATGATGTGGATTTTACTTCACAACATTGAGAATACAATCTAGAATCTAGATCTAGAATCTAGGTCGCAAAATAAATTGGAAAGATCTAGATCTACATTTTCAGTTTCCGCAGAAAACTGCGATCCCTGTCATTATGACTAAATATCTAATTGGCGTTGGTCGAATTGTAGATTCCACGGCACAGATAGACAAAGGCCGATGTACGAACAGCGCAATCTTGCAGTTTCTTATAATACAACTTATAGCTGAGAGTTGCCGTAAATATCCGAGAAGTTATGGAGGCAACTGCTCATCTTTGGTACGGAATGCCGATTATCTCTCTCTCTCTCTCTCATGGAGTTGATATGATGCATCAAGTACGGAACTTTCGGAATGGACGGATTTCTGCAAAAACAAGGAAGATTGGAAGCACTGCAGAACGTTCTTTTTTCTTCTTCTTTCGGCACCCATCGCAAATCCAGTAGTTTTCACACCTTTATCGGTATGGCGGTAGAACAGGCCCAAAATCGATAACTACCGGAAAAATCAGTAGATTTAGGCAGCCCTATGTATGTACTGAGCCCAGCCATTGGTTCATCAGAGGTTCCTTAGAGGTAGCAGCACATGTTGCTCAGACTTAAAAAGTATGCATCATTTGAAACAGGCTGGGAACGGAAATATTGCAATATAACATTAAAATCTAACACGGTACAGAAAAAAAACTTTTACATAAAATCCTTTAAAAAATAAAAAAATTAGGTCAGCAGATGTGGGTAGCATTTAAACTACAAAACTGAACAACTCGTATCAAAATATTTTGCATTCTCATGAAATTTGTTTAGTATGGGGTTTTACGGCGCTCGCAACTGCATAAGGTCATATGAGCGAGCGAAACACTTGAGTTAGTTTTTTATACGCAGCGTATACCCATTTTTCCCCCTAAATTTTGTATGTAGTGTGTGTGTGTGTGTGTATGTAGTGTGTGTGTGTGTGTGTATGTAGTGTGTGTGTGTGTGTGTATGTAGTGTGTGTGTGTGCGTGTATGTAGTGTGTGTGTGTGTGTGTATGTAGTGTGTGTGTGTGTGT